CCTTTAGTGAGTGTACCCAAATTTTGATAGGTATGACAGCCTCCATGCCAAAGACGAGGGAGAAAGGGCTCACCAGTGGGGCTCCTAGGCGTCATGCGATATGCCCACAACACTATCAGGAACTCATCTACCCAAAGTCCTTTGGCGCTCTCCAATCTAGCCTTCAGATTGTGCAGTATGGTTTTGACAATGACTTTAGCTTGTCCATTTGCCTAGGAGTGGGCCAGAATAGAGTGTAGCTGTCTAATTTAGAGGTCAGTACAAAAATAATTGAGGAGCTTCTTATCGAATTTCTTGGCGTTGTCGCTTTTTGTGTCATGAGGCACTCAAAATTCCACACCATGTTTTTCCAAATAAAGTCATTTACCTTCTTATCTGTTATCTTAGCTAGTGACTCAACTTTCGCCCACTTTGTGAAGTAGTCGATGGCTACCTCGACAAATTTACACTGGCCACGGCTCATGGACAGTGGGCTTAGGATGTCGATGCCCCACTTGAAAAATTGCCAAGGACTAATGATAGTGATCAATTCCTTTGGTGGTTGTCTCGGCGTAATGGCAAAGCGCCAACACTTGTTATATTTTTTAACAAAGTCATGGGCTTCCTTGATCATGTTGGGCCAATAATAGCCTTGTCTAGTCGTCTTGTGGGCTAGAGAGCACCCTCTAGAGTTTTTTCTGCATATTTCCTCATGAATCTCTCTTGTGGCATTGTCAGATTCTTCTAGAAAGAGGTAGCAGAGCAATGACAGTGAGTAACCCCTTCTATAAAGGACATCTTTTAGGATGACGTAATGCAAGGCCCTGAGTCTTACTTTCTTGGCTTCCCTTGGGTCGTATGGGAGTGTGCCCTCTTCTAAGTATGTTCGGATGGTTGTCATCCAGTTCACGTCAGTTGATGTGTAGTTGATGCTTCTCATATTCATTTTCAGCCTATTTGGCTCAAATTGGTGACCCATAATGGCAGGACCTGGTGAGATGTCTGAGGATGAGGCGACCTTGGATAATGCATCTACTATCACGTTATCTTCTCTTGGTATATGTTGAATTAGGATATTGTCGAACTTCTTTAACAAGATCTATACCATTGTTAGGTACTCCTACATCCTTTCCTCCATTACCTCAAAATCTCCTTTCACATGGTTGACTACTAGTTGGGAGTCATTCTAACTAATGAGGAGGCGGGCCTCCATTTCAATTACTAACTTCACGCCTAAGATGTGGACCTTATATTCTACCTCATTGTTAGAGGCTACAAAATGAAAAAGCTATGGCATATTTGAGGGGAGAGCTGTTAGGGCTAATGAGTACTACGCCTACTCCACTTCCTTCATAGGTTGAGGAACCGTCCATATAGATTCTGTAAAACCCGGTAAATTTAAATTTTTGAAAACAAAGGCAAAACGGTAATTTTGTCGCTACAGTATGGGTCAAAAATCTGAAATTTTTTGGAACTTGGATGATAAACCGGACTTCACCATTGGATTCGTATCGCGAAATTTAGTTACTCTGTCAAATTTCATTGAATTCTGAGATAGTCAAATTTTTTACATTTTTCGAGTCAGTAGAGTCTCGGGTGACCAAAAAAAACGGAATTTTAGCAAAAATTTTAAAATTTGGGAAATAATTTGAGGCAAGTTAAAATAAAAATATTTTGAACTTAAACCAGCACGAAATTTAATCATTTCGGGATGAAAACGGATCCGAAAAAAAAGGTCGTATGGCGCATTCTAGGCCAAGCATTCTAAAAGTATAAATAGGGTGAAATATCTGAAAAATCAGATATTTCCTACCCATTTGTTGGCTGGTTTTAGACGTTGGAGGAAGAGAAGAGAGAAAGAGAGTTTTCAAGTTTTCTTCCGTCGATTCTCGGAGTTCCATTGGTCGAAATTCGTCGGGCCAAGAATTAAAGTCGATCTACGCGACAAGGGCTATGTGTGGGTACCAAAAAACAAAGATTTTCACCAAAGATTCAAAGGCAAATTTTTGGAAAATCAAGAACTTGGGGCTTGTTTTGGTGTTTTTGAAGTCTCCACACTTCAAAGAGGTAGGGGTTTTCCTACCTTAGTTCATTTCCTACCTATAGTGTATGTGAAATGTGTAGGTTATTAAAGAGTGTATATATGTATCACTCACCTATGCATGTGAAATAGATAAAATGGAAATGAAAAAGGGTGTAGAAATGGCTTAGGTCAATTTCTAGTTGTATGTGATATGTGGGAATCACTTGTGAAATCCCTGGAAAATTGAATGTGTTAGTAACATGAGCTATGCATAACATGTGTGTTGTGAATTGTGATTAAATAGCAAATGTTATTTTATGCCTTGAGGAAGTAGGTGTAGAATGGGTTTGATTCAAATCCTACTTTGTTTTGCTATGTGGAAGTACTTGTGTAATTTCTTGGATGGAAGATATGTGTGCTTTAATATGTAGAAAAGTGAGTGTGTTTAACTCATACATCAGTGTATGTTTATGTGTTCTTGCTTATTGGAAACCTAAAGTGAGGGAGATTAAAAGAGAAGGAAGAAAAACCAAGTTTTAGCTCACATTTGATATGTGGAAGCTATTAGTGTAAACTCTTGAAAATTTGGGTTTATATGGATTGTTTTGTGTATTTTAAAATTTTCCTACCATAGTTGGTTGGATGGAAAAATGGTAGGCATATGGAACTATGTAATTCACTTGCCTATGGTTATGGAGTTGGTGTAAAAAGGATATAATCAATTTCTAGTTTGAAATTGATGGTTTAGTTAAAAAGGGGTATTGAGGATGGGTGGCATGACTTGAGATAAATTATCTTGTTGAATGCACCATTAGTGTATGTTAAGTACGGGAAAAGGGTGCCTAAATGTGCTAAATAAATCTTGTAAGAAAGAATTTGCAATGGATATAGAAATCGGGTGAAGAAAAGCCGGTACACTTTTCTGCTCCGGACCAGTTGTCATAGAATCATCATAACTTTTGATCCCACTGTTTTATTGAGCTGAAAGTTTGACACAATATAGAAGACATCTATATCTACAACTTTCGTGTTTTGAACGTTTCCAGATTCTGAGTGGATCATGGTCAAAATGGAGAAAAACAGAGGTACTTCCACCAGAGGGAGCTAATGCTGGTGCCTTTGTTACCAAACACCAATACCTCTTTGATTTCTTAACTTCTAAGCCTCCAAATCCTCATGTAATGTGGTCATACCTTCACCACACATCCAAGATAGTTGCAAGGTCCTAAAATACTTGATTTATGCTATAAATACTTGCAACATCCAAATATCAACATTATTCATAATTTCGGCTCACTCTAAGTACTTACATGCAAAAGTTGAGTTAAAATGCATGTACTGAGGTCTTCAAATATGCAATATTTTTCACTCATCACTATTTGTTCTTTTGTTTTAAATGATATATATTAGGGTATATTGGACCTCGATAGGATTAAATTAATAAAGGAACACGGGTTACACGTGCAAGTTAAAATCCCAGACAAAGGGATAATAATGATGTGATGTCGGTTAGTACGGCATTTATGGATCTTTCCATGGATTGACAGAAGCGGTTAGCGGTAGAAGTCATTTATTATGATTTCTTGAGTTATACGATGAATGTGAGTGAATTATGTGATAACATACTTGGTGCCGTGAAGGTGTTTAATAAAATTCCTTGAGTTATTGAAGTTGTTGTTTGATGAAATAACATGCTTGAAAAATGTGGTAAAGTGAAATTACATGCTTATGATGTGATTTACAATTGTAATGTTATGTTGATGTATGCTTAACGATATGTTAGCATTATGATGATCATGGAATTTATATGTTTGGATATAATTGATCATGAGATATGTTGAAATTGTTTATATGGCATTCATTACATATTGAACATGACAGTAGTTTGAAATGATGCATTACATTGCATATGCACGGGGTAAACACATCTATAACCATGAGCATGGGTGTGTGGTTGCTTGGTTGGTCAATCATCATCCTTGGTGGTTGGTGGTGGGCTCGGGAAAGTAGGATGGAACATCCTATTGAGTCGCACTGTTACATGAATAAGAAAACTTGTGTCGGGTATAGCAAGTAGGGCTAGACACTCCCTCGGGTGAAAAACCCGACCACTTGGTTCATACACTTACCGGCGGTGAAATTCTAGAAATGTGTAACAGCATACGGAGCCGGAGGTGCGATTCCTAAATCCGATACCCAATAAAGACACATGATTTTAATATATAAATTATTCATTTGATGGGAAACATCCAAGAATGAATTGGTTTTATGACATATGGTTGATTTCAAAATGATCTTTGGATGTGTTTCATCAAAGACGTTTGTTTTACACATATGAGTCGCATTGTGTTGTGGGGGTCGGTGTGGGCTCGGGATAGCATGCATGAGTGAGTTTCATCTCATTACTTGGCATGATATCATGAGATTCTATCTTGAATAACATATTCTTATTTGCAATGGAAGAAGTTGTTTGTGGCATGTGCGCATTGCATACAAATTTTAGGTGGGGAGTAGCCTCTGTAGGAGTTTTTCTACTGAGCGTTGGCTCACCCTATACGGGAAACATTTCAGGTGCAGGGTGCGTACTAGCGGAGGAATCTCATTCGGGGCCTCAAGGGTGAAGAGGGGCCGACATGTGGCCTTTAACCATGACTGTTTTGTAGACTTTTGTTCAAACTATGTATTGGCATGTAATATTTGTAAAGGAATTATAATTTTGAACTTGTATTAACTATGTTTAATGCATAAAATCATGAGGTGAAAGTATGGATAATTGGACCCAGTGTGGTCAATATTTTTTTATAAATGGACCCGGTGTGGTCAACATTCGTATATGGGACCTCGGATGGGTCATGTGATGGTACGGTGCACAGGTTGTATTTTGGGTAGAGTTTCCCTGTACAAAGGAGACTCTGCCCGATTTTGTTACATTATGAATTCCGGTAAATGGGACACAACAGTGTGGTATCGAGTTATACGATATCCATAGGCATTTCACGGGTTGATGGGCGATCAACGGGACCCCCAGTTTTTGGGGCATCACAGATTCTCCAGCGAGGTGGGGATGCATCCTTGAAGTGAGTTGGCACAGCACCAAGGGGCGTAGGAGGTGCAAAGACGAGGTGTAGATAACACCAATAGCTGGAGGCAGGGTGCCAGGCACCGCTGGGCAAAAGGTGCTAGAGGCTGGGCATCCTGGTAAGGCGTTGGGCATGTGAGAGGTAAGGGTTAGGTGCCTAGCAGTGGGCGAGGCAGGCATAGGCCTTGGTGTTAGTGAAGGTGTTGCCTTCTCCTTGAGTGGCATAAGCTCCACCACAAAATATGTTATCTCTCCACCGCTGGGTTGAAGGTGATGCAAGACAAGAAGGTATAGGAACAAGGCCTCTCCGGGTATGGCACAGGAAAGTAAAAGGGCACAGCAAGTTAGGCTTTCAATTTTTGAAAAGCCTCTTTTGTGTCTAGTCCCCACTCAAAAATGTTTTGGAGGATTTTGAAGAAAAGCAGACATTTGTCAGTTGGATTTAAGACAAACCTGTTGAGAGCTATAACCCTTCCATTGAGGCACTAGACCTCTTTCACCGTGGCAGGGGACATCATGTACAGGATGACTTTGATCTTGTCCGAGTTCATTTCAATACCCCACTTGGTGACAATGAAGCCAAAGAATTTTCCCGGTCCCACGTCAAAGGTGCACTTCTCAAGATTCAAATTTATCTAGTAAGACCTCGGGATGTCAAAAGTCTATCACAAGTGTGTTACATGGTCCTCCTCTGCTAGGCTCTTTACCAACATGTCGTCGATGTACACTTCCATAGTGTTTTTGATCTGTGACTCAAATATCTTATACACCAGTCGTTGTACCTAGCTGCCATATTTTTAAGTCCAAAGGGCCTGACCTAGTAGTAGTAGGTCCCTTTGGGAGTGATGAAATATGTCTTCTCGTGATCTGGTGGGTACATGCTAATCTGGATATATCAAAAGTAGGCATCTTGGAAACTAAGGAGCTCATGTCTGGATGTGGCATCAATGAGGATGTCTATGCATGGCAAAGGGTAGCTTTTCTTGGGACACTCTTTGGTGAGCTCGGTACAATCCACACAGAGGCTCCACTTCCCACTGGCTTGGTCACCATTACCACATTGGACAACCAGACTGGATAGGCCACCTCTCTAACTAGCCTATTCACTAATAGCTTCCCCATCTCCTTTTCCATGGCCTACACCCTTTTGTAGTGAAGCTCCTTAACTTTTGGTGGATGGGCATGTACTTGAGATCCATATTGAGCCAGTGGGTGGCAACTTTAGGTTCAATGCCTTCAAGGTCTTCATGAGACTAGGGTCAATGCCTTCAAGGTCTTCATGAGACTAGGCAAATACATCCATATTCTACTTCAAAAAATCAACAAGTTGGCGGGCTCGATCTTCGGGGAGCAAGGAGTCAATATAGACTTTTCTCTCTGAGAGGTTTTTGTTCAAGACTATTGTTGTCAGCTTTTCTATCAGTTCTCCTCTATCCAGCGTGTTGTAGTCCCTAGGGTCTAGTACTTCCACTTGTAAGACCTCTTAAGGCCTTTTGGCCCTCATAGAAGCTACATAGCACTCCTTCTCCACAACTTGGTCTCCTCGAATTTCTCCAATTACCACATAAGGTTGGAAAATAGAGAATGAGGTAGTAAGTGGATGACACCCCCTCAACATGTTGAGAGCTGGACGCCCAAAGATGATATTGTAGGTAGACAGGCAGATAGGCATTCTACCACTAAGAAGTTTACTATTATGGTGGAGCTTCTAGGTGTCGTGTCTGATGTGACTAGTAAGGTGATGGAGCCCAAGGGTACACCTTTTCTATAGAAAATCCAATGAGAGGTGTCCTGATGGTTTGGAGTCTCTCCCTGTCTAGATGGAGGTTATAATACACCTCTACGAAGAGAAAATCAGCAGAGCTGCCGCTGCCCACAAGTATCCTTCTTACTTGATAGTTGGCCACCATCATGGTCAATAAAAATTGGTCATCATGGTAGTGTTGGATTCCCTCCAAGTCTTTGTCTGAGAAGGAGATGACATTGTCATCCCCTTGCTTCTGGGACTTCAATAGGTGTAAGTCATCTGGCTTCAAGTGTCTAACTTTTCTATCGTGCACATTTCTGGCTGAGTTGAAGTCACCTCCTCCCACAAGCCCTCTAGAGATCGTATGGATTTCTATTGATGGTTGTTGTTGCTCTCCTTGGTTGCGCTTAGATGGTGGGGCGTGCCCTCCATCTTCCACATACTATCGTAATTGTCCACACTGTATAAGGTCCTTAATCTCCTTTTTGAGCTCAAAGTAGTCGTCAGTGTCATGGTTATGGTTGTGGTGGTAGCAACAGTACTTGTTTAGGTTTCTACGGTTTGGGGTGGATTTTATTTTTCCTAGCCAGTGCATCATACGGTCATCCTGAATTTAGAGAAAAAAATTCTCAACTAAGGCATTGAGCGGTGTAAAGGCCTGTTGCTCCCTCTGAAGCATAAGGTTGAGGCAATTTTTGGATGAAACCCTCTTTATCCTGCCCCTTTTGTTCTCGGTCTTTGATGACTCGCCTCACTTGGCTTTGGCGATGTCCTCGACATTCAAGTATTTTTGGGCTTTTGATAGTAATTCTGGCATGCTCTTTGGCGGGCGTTTCAAAACAAAAAAACAAAAAACTGGATGAGCACAAGCCACTTATGAAAGTAGTCATGGTGACTTTGTCATCTAGCTCTTCAATCTAGAGGACCTCCTTGTTAAAATAAGTAAGGTAACTCCTTAGACTTTTGTCTCGGTTGTGCTTAATGCTGAGCAAGTGGATAAAAGGCTTCGGGTGTCGGCGTCCCCCTATGAACTGGGAGACGAAGGATTTGCTCAATTCAGCAAAAGAATTTATGGATGCTAGTCTAAGCTTCATGAACTACTAGCGTGCAAACCTCTTGGGGGCAATAGGGAAGGCCATACACATAATCTCGTCTGGTATGTTATGCAGCTACATAAGGAATTTGTAGATGTCAAGGTGGTTTAGTGGATCTTTTTGAGCCATAAAAAACTTCCATAGTTAGCATTCTGAACTTTGCTGGGAGGGGGTAGTTGGCCACATCAGCTATGAATGGGGTATCAGTAAGCCTTACAAGGTGCTCGAATGTTTTTGGCTACCTCACCTTCATGGCTTTGAAGATGCCCAGTTGGTTTTGTACTTCCTTGATCTTTCTTGTCCTAGTGGTTGGGGATGCCTGTTGTTGTACTGACTTTCATGGTCCATATGTTGGGTTTTTCCCTCCCTCATCTTCTTGGAATGGAAGTTTGTCAGCATTAGATGATTGAGTGGGCGCACGAGGAGGGGAAGCCATAGCGCATTGAGGTGGGATGCCTTGGCACACTAGTCGAGGTGTCTGGGCTACTGGGGCACAGCTCTAGGATGCTCAATGAGCATCAATTGGAGGATTTATTGGTTTTGGTTTACCAACAACTGCATAGTCTCCAGTAGTTGCGTTTCAGCAACAGGATTTGCCAGTGGGAGGGAGACCTGGTCTTGATGTGGTTGATCATCATTTTGTTAACTCCTGGCTCTCGTGGTAATGGCCATAAAAATCAAGAACACAGTAGGGTGAAAACTAATTCATTTCACATAGGGTGCCAAACTGATGATGTACAAAATGAGTTTATGCAAAATCAATCAAGATGTGGTGGTGTATGTGATGATGTATGTGATAACGTAAGTGATGAGGATGTTTAATACAGACTCAGATTAAGTGGTGTCGGTCTAGGTGACCTACTCCGCTAGGAATGATGATGGTGGTTGAAAAATTTTAGTACTCAACATGTAGTGTGTTGGTTGCCCCCCATGTGTGGTCGGGGCTTACAATTATAAGTGAGTAGAATTACACAAGGGCTCTGAGAGAGCCTTGATTGAGGAGTCACTATGGGGAGCAAGGTGATATCATGAGGCCGACGTCATTCCCGTAACAAGCAAGGTAATTTCGTAAAGCTAGTGATGTGTACCGATGACTACGTTCTATGATTCCTTCCTACGGTGGAGATCCTGATAGAGTAGTATACTAAAAGTTTAGTTTTTGTAGTGAAATTCATTTTATTAATTAATAAAAGTATGTTCTTTCTATTTTATTGTGAATCTATATAGGCAAAATATTTGTATTATATTTTATATATGATATGTATGTGTGTCTTATATTTTATATTATAGATAATCTGGTGTCTAGAGTTCGGCTTATGCATAGAAGACTAGATTATCGGATTCTTGTATAATATAAGTATATGTTCACAATCGCAAATTGGACATGCATTGGTATGATTGTAGTATAATATTCTGACATAGTCTGTCTTGGCTATAGGAGATTATTTGATGTCTCGGATTATTGCACTAGTATACTTTGTGTATTGAACAGACTCATGTTGAGGTTATTATCTTTTACTGATTTAATAAGATAATAAATACCTCATCATTATTATAATTGCTTATGCTCTTAATCCCTAAATATTTAATTGTCATGTGCATATAATGTTTGTCACTTTAATTCATCAAAGAGTGAGATTCATATTGGGTCAATAAGCTCAATGAATTGGGAGATGATATTATTTGTATGATGAAAATTAAATATTAAAGGAAAGGATTAATTACACTAGAGATCCCCAAAGTATGGAGTTTGTCTCATTTTGCTCCCCAATGTTTCAATTGCATCATTTTTCTCTTTGAAGTATTGAATATGTTTCTATATGGTCCCTCAAGCAGATAGTGTTCAAATTGCTAATGAGTTTTTATCATAAACTTGTCACGTGATACTTAAATATTGACAAAAAAATAATTTGGATAACTCTTACCTAAATTTTTACTCAAATTAGCTACCTAAATTACACAATTTTGATCATGGGTTATCCAAAGTTTAGTCAAAACTACCCATATTACACATCTTTTTGTCAATAGCTATCAAAATTATTTTTAAGAGCTATCAAAATTATTTTTTGCCCATATTTAGGTTTTACATGACAAGTTTATGATAAAAAAATTATTAGTAATTTGGACTTTGTCTACTTGAAGGACCCTATAAAAACATATTTAATACTTCAGAGACTAAAATAATGCAATTGAACTATTAGGGACCAAAATGAGACAAACCTCATACTTTGGGGACCTCTAGTGCAATTAATCCTGAAATAAACCATGTCCTAGTATTTAAATGGTTTGATGATGTCGTCTTGAGGAAGCTCAGAAATTTTGTTCATGTCAAACTCTACAGGTGGATTTAATTATCCGACATAACAATACGTTGAGTGGTAAGG